GCTCCGCAGTGAGTGAGGGTCTCCCCAGCTGGGGGCGCTCACGAAGGGTCCCCAGGTGGGAAAGAAAGCCTGGGTCTCCTGCAGAGGATGGGGCAGCAGGGGGAGCCGAGTGTGACACCCCGGGGATGCTTTGGGGTTTCACTGACAAAAGCAGCTCCGGAAGGGGGGAGAGACCCCGCCTCTCCAGGGGCCCTCCAACACCAGGTCAGCCGTGTGCCTGGGTGTGAGGAGAGTCCATCGAGCAGAGGGCCCGGCCCAGGACCCCAGGTGCCCAGGCCCAGATGGCTCCGGCCTCCCCTCCAATCTGCCATGGCCCTCCTCCTGGTCTGAATGATGAGAGCTGGACCTGTGGGGTTTGGGGGCTAGCAGGGGGAGAAGGTAGGGGGAGCGGGAGGAGGAGCTGGATCACTGGATCTTCACTGTAGGACCCCCTCCCCCCACCAAGCATCTACAGAGCTTAGGTGCGAGGGCCACACTCCCAGGCCCTCCCCTCTGGACAACTGCCCCAGGGCCGAGGACGCCCATGTCCAGACGGAGAGGGCAGAAGCCAGGGGCCAAGCAGGTGGAGGGACTCCGGGCTTCTGGCTCTGGGGAGCACATTCCAGGGCTCCACATTCAAACTCCTCACAGGACACTCCGGGGCCCGGGGCCTCCAGCTGTCCCTCTGGAGCCACCAGCCGCGGAACTAATGTCCTCTAATGAGATCCGGGCCAGCGTGGCTGGCTGCAGGCGTTATTGTCTGTGGCTCAGTAATGAGGAGCCTCATAAAGCGAGTGAAAGCAGGTCCGCGTGGCCCAGGGCGGGCGGCCAGTCCAGGAGGGGACACAGTCAGCCACCGGCAGCTCCGCCCCCCGCCTCTGCCCATTCAAGTCACGCCCACAGCTTGGCCTCTGCTCACTGTGCCAGGGGCCAACCCCCTTCATGCATGCGCCCCGCATGATCATACACACACATGTGCGCATGGGTACTTACTCAGACACACGGGCTCACACACATTCACACACGTGCACTCATATACTCAAGACACAGACTCAAATACACACACGTGAACTCAGACACAGACTCACCCACTTTCACATAAGTGCACTCAGACATATGGACTCACATAAACATACATACATGTACTTATGGACTCAGACACACGGACTCACACATCTTCACACACATGCATTCAGACACACGGGCTCACGTGAACATACACACGTGTACTCATACTCAGATACACACTCACATACGTTCACCCACATGTACTCATACTCAGACACACAGATGCACATACACACATTCACACATGTGCACTTACACTCAAGACACACAAACTCACATATACACATTCACACACATGCACTCATAGACTCAGACACATGGACTCACATATACACATTCACACTGTGCACTAATGTACTCTCATATACACATGGATTCACACACACATGTACAGACATAAACTCAGACACATGGACTCGTGGAGTCAAATATATTCACACACATGCGCTCATAATCACAGACTCACACATGCACTCACATGCACATACTCGTACACAGCACATACATGCACGTATATGCTCACGCGTGCATGCACTCACACACGTGTACATACACAGATATACACCACATGCACATATGCTCACACAGTCGCACACACACGCATGCTCTCTTGCACAGCCCCCACAGACCCCACTTCCCTGGGAGCTGCCCTTTCCCGGTGGTTGTGGGGGCCCATGAACTAGTGAGGGACCCTCTCCCCGAAGCATGCTCTCCTGGGCCCACCAGCTGGTCCCTCAGCCCCTCCTGTCTGGGCACCCACAAAGCCCCTCCCCCGGGGTGCTGAGGTGGGTGGGGAGCCCCAGAGATGATGGGAAGCGGGGTGCAGAGGCTGAGGGCCTAGAGGGGAGGCCCAGGTGGCGCCTTGCTGAGCGTTTCTGATTTGCGGGGTTTTGGTAGTTAATTCTGCCCCCCACACACACACATCCCCCATCCCCTGCCACTCCAGCTTCTCCTTGACTCCTGACCTGGCGTTCCCAGACTGCCTCTGAACTCTGGTGATGCACCCACAGCCCCAGTCTCGCTCTGCCTGATGGGGGCGATCTTGCTGCGGGGAATGCGGGTGAGGTGAGTCTCTGTTCTCCCTCCTGACCAGAGCCCAGGACCCCCCCCAACACTGACAGGCTCGATTCGGGCACAGCCCCATCTCTGGGGGTGCGGGATCGGTTCAGGGTGCCTCAGCAGACCGGGATCCAGCAAGTCAAGGGTTAACTGCCCCGCGGGGCGTCAGTGTGCCAGCAGCTCCGGCTTTCCCTGGCAAGGTGATCCCTGCGCAGGGCTTAGGTTACCCACAGCCCAGCCCCATCTGCTGGGCTCTGCAGGCCTGCTCTGGGGGGTAGGGGGCGGGGGGTGGCACTGTGTCGCTCTCCAGCTGGGCCTGGGCACGGGGGCACTGGGCTCCCAGGGGTGTCCTAACCTGCCCCTTCATTTCACTGTCCTTTCCCAACCCTCTGGGGATGGGGGGCTCCCACTTGCTGGGGATGGGGGGCTCCCACTTGCTGTCGTGGGAACTGGGCTTGTTTCTGGCACATGAGGTCCTGCAAGGCGATTTAAAGAGGACCAAAGTCCAAATTTATGTGGGAAACAAGGGAGGTCAAAGAGAAGCTGTAGCCCTGTCTCCCGAGAACTGTAGGTGATCAACGCACGCGTCCACTCGAGGCTGGGCCAGCCCTGGGAAGGCTGGTGCCCAACCCCTCTCTGGCCTGCCACACTGGCTAATACCCAAAGTTTACAGATCAGCAACATTTGGGAACAGACAGACGCCCTCTTGATCCGCCCCGGCCCCAGGGAGGAATCACTCAGCCGGCTGGTGGGAAAGACGGACAGTAACTGGCACCTAGCCTGGGGGTTTCCGGTTTGCGCCCAACAATGCCTGTCCCTCGGTCCCCGGGCTCAGCCTCAGTGCCAGCGTGCAGTGCCCTGGGTCCTGGGCTGGGCAGTGGTCAGTCTGCACGAGGAGTCAGCAGGGGACAGGCGTCTCTGGTGCAGAGTTCAGGCTCTGAGACCCTTCCCAGGTGGCAAGGCTGGGCATGACCATCTCTGCCACTCCCTCTCAGCCTGGATGCTGGCTGGCGTGGGGCGGGCAGAGTCCCAGGTGGGCAGGAAGTGGCCGCAGAGAAGGGTGCTGCCTGTTCTGACACCTGGGGTGCTCGGACTCTTTCCAGACAAAGGTTTGGGGAAGCCAATTAGGGAGGGTGTGGTGGGGGTGGGTGGGCGGACACCTGCTCCCCGCTGGGGCAGCCCTCCTGGGCTCCTCACCTCTTTGGGATGCACCCCACCCTGCCGCGCTCCCCCATGGGCAGGGTAGAGCCCAGATTCCGAGTCCCCCTCCAGCTGCCTGGCACATTATGGTACATTACACGCACACAAATGCACACACATGCATATGCGCACACACACGTGCACACACACACACACACACAGGCCATAGCAAACACAGAGGAGGGGGCCCACTGGCTTCACTACCTGGCCCACTGGCTCCTTGTCCCTCCAGGCTTCCTGTCACAGCCCCGAACACCCAGAAAAGTGTCCCGATGTGGGAAGGAGAGGCCAGCAGGGGGTGTGGGAGGCCAGCTGTGTCCTGTGGCCTCCGTTGAGGGGGGGCGGGCATAGGCTGCCCAGCCCTGACAGTTGGGGTGCAGGGCTTAGGGGAGCGGAGTAAGCGCGCCGCTGGGAGCTCGGGGGAGGGGCAGGGTGGTGAGTGTCACCTCCCGCCCCAGTCCTGAGCAGAGGGGCAGGGCAGCCCGCAGCCCCCCAGAGGCAGTGCACCAGCAGCAGCAGGAAGCTGGGGCAGAAAATAACAAAAGGAGGAGAGAAGGGTTGGGGGGGTGTGAGTCCGGTCCCCCTCCCCCAAGCCCCTGCCCTTTGTCTTACCCGGGATTAACCCCTCCGGTTCCAGACCCACTGGGCCCCAGGAAGGCTCTCCCGGCGGCTTTCGCTAGATTCGGGGTGCAGAGCCCCCCACAGAGCATTCCCTGCTGGTCACACTCCTAGAGTTTGCTCCCAGGAGGTCCAGCGAAGCGCCCCCTCCCGTCAGTCACACCCTCTGGACCGGGCATGGACACTGTATCTCAGCATCCCTCCCCTGGCCAGGTTCTGGCCCGCCAACGGCACCCCCACCCCCACTCTGCCGGGAGCACCGCAAACGCGGGCACCTCCTCCCTCCCGGTCACTGCGCGCTGCCCACCCCATCCCCCATCCGAGGTCCGGTCCTCGGAGCAGTCCCAGCCCCCGGGTGCTGCCATCCTCAGGCCAGGACCACGTGCTCCGGCCAAGCCCCCACCCCCGCCCAGCCCCCCAGCGAGAGAGCGGGAAACCCTCTCCGATTTCCCTCCGGGACGGGCGGCCCCCACCCCGCCCCGGCCCCGCGGGCGCAGGGCGCCGGGCGCCTCCCCAGGGACACAAAGGGTTAAGCCCGGGCGCCCGGGACTGGGTCGGCTTCGCCTCCTCAACGCATTTTCCAGTTCATCCCCCAGCACAATAGGCCCGGGCAGCCCCCGATCAGCGCCCACCCCGCGCGTCCCAGGGGCCACCCAGGGCCTCCGCCCCCCCTCCCCGGGGGTCGGCGGCGCGGTTAACCCCTCCGCCGCCAGCCCCTCGGGGAAGACACGCGGGAGTCCCCTCGGGAAAGTGGGTCATGCCGCCACCGGGTTGGGAACGAGCCGCAGCGCCACCCGCGGGTCCCCGCCAAGTGGCGCGGAGTCCCGGGCAAGGGCCGGCAGGTGAGCGGGCGGCGCGCGCCGGGCGCTCGGGGAGAGAAGTCTGCAATTTACGTAACGCGGCGGAGTTTCCGAACTGCCCCCGCGCGCGGGGAGCCGGGCGGTCCTGCCCGGAACGGCGCTCCGGGCGCCCACGGGCGCGCGGCCCCCCGGAGCCGGGCGGGAAAGCGCGCGCGACGGGTGCCCCGGCGGTCCCGGCCGGGCACGGAGACGCGGCGAGAGGCGCGGCGCGCTCACCTGGGAGGAAGAAGGCGCTCAAGCCCAGCGCGAGTCCCCACCAGCGTCCAGCGGCGCCCGCCGGCCCCATCCGGGCCATCGGGCGCGGGGCTGCGGCCACGCGGGTCCGAGGGCTGCGCTCCGGCGGCGGGCAGCGTGCGCGGGCGGCGGGCGGGCGGCCGGGCGGGGCGGGCGGCTCAGCGGCGCGGCGGCTGCCCGGCGCGAGTGGCCCGGGTCATGTCCCCCTCGCCTCCTCTCCGGTCCCGCCCTCGCCGTCCACGCACACGGGCTCGGGGAGGGGCGCGCGGCGGCGGGCTCACAGCCTCCCGCTCGGCGCCGGCTCGCGGCCGTCCATGGCCGGCCCGGGGTCCGAGGCGGCGGGGGGCGCGCGGGGAACAATGTGCAGCTGCAGCCGCCGCCGCCGCCGCGCTCGCTCGCTCGCTCTGCCCGGCCCGGCCCGCTCGGCCCGTGATGTCAGGCCGGGGGTGGGGTTTCGCTTAACCCCCTCGCGGCTGCAGCGCAGGCTCCGGCGCGCGCGCGCGCACCCGCGCGCGGGGGCCCGGCCTCCGCCCCGCCGCGCGCTCCTCCCGGGCCCCGCCGGCGCGGCCCGGCCCCCGCCGGGGGTGCCCGTGGGGGGTCCCCGCCGGGCCCGCGCGCTCGGGAGCCGCTCCTCGGCCCCCGCGGAGGGCCCGGGGGGCGGCGGGGCGCTGACAAAGGGAGGCAGTGACCCCTAGCGGCCGGCACCGGGGGACGGGCGGGCGGCCGGCCGGGGGTGGAGTCTCCGGAGGGGGCGGAGGCGCGAGCGTGCTGGACGGAGAGGCTGCTCCCGGCCCGCCGCGCCGCCTCCCGCCCCGCTGCTCGGTCCAGGGAACCAGTGTGTACCCCCCGCGCCCAGACCGGGGAGGCGACTCGCCTGGGGTCCAGGGTCGCCCGTGGCCAGCTCGACCCGGCGCCCCGCAGCCCGCGCGCCCTCTCCGCCACCTGCGCGCTCCCCGGGGGCCGCGCCCCCCCAGGCTGCGCCAAGAGTGGGCTCCATCCAGGTGTCTGTCCTGCAGGGCTGCCTCTGCACCCCCAGCCCCCGAGAACGCCAGCGACCCCCTTCCCCCCAGAGGAGTCTAGAGCCTGCTCCGCGTCGCCCGCACCTTTGTTTCCCGAGCCCATTTGCGGGATTCCCGCCAAAGCGCCCGGTCCCCGCGGAGTCGACGCGGGCACTCGCCTTCCCGTCCTGTTCCCCGCCACCCACCACATCCGGGTGCCACCAGCTTCCTGCCAAGGCGCCTGGGCCCTCGGGGCTCTCGGCAGCGAGTCTGTCCTCCCCTCCCTCCCGCTGGAGCCCGCCCCCCACCAGCCCAGGAGGCCAGAGACCCCCGAGAAGGAGCTGGCCGCAGACCTCAGCAGGCAGCGCCCCCTGAGCCCAGCGCTGCCCTTTGCCCAGCGGCTGTTCCTGATAAGATGTCAGCTCTGGTTCCCGGAAGGAGGAGGAGCAGGACGCCCCTGCTGGTGCCCGCTCTCTGGGGTCTGGTGCCTGCTGCAGCCCGCAACCAGCACCCGCGCCAGCAGACGTGTGCATGGGCACGCTCGCACACGCAAAGATGTGTTCGGGGCTTCACACGACAATTGTGCCCGGCTTGGAGACTCTGTGGCATGGCCATGCCCTGCAGACATGCTCTAGGAGGGGGGTAGGCATTCAAAGCAAATGCTGTGAACATGAGTCTAACGCTTGTGGGGTGGGTCCCAGAAATGCACACCGAGGACCGGGAGGGTCTTGGAGAAAGTGTGTAGTTATCAGGGAGGGCTTCTGGGAGGAAGGGGCCTGGGCTGCATGAGTCTTCCAGGAGACATGGCGGTGCAGGAGGCGTTCTCAGAGACTCAAGTTCAAGGGGTTGGCATGAAGCCAGACTGGAAGCCCAGCAGCTCCTGGGGCGGGGGTTTGGAGTGGCCCACTAAGGGGTGGTGACCTGAGCCCAGAACTTAGGCAGAAAGAAGCTGGTAGGTTTTCTGCTGGGGGCAGGAGCCTGGCCCCAACAGCCTTGGCACCTCTGCTCTGCCCCACAGTGCTCTAAGGTCAGAGCCACACCGGGTCACTGTGTCCTCAGGATGTGGGGGGCTGAGGCCCTGGAGCTACCCCACGCCTGCAGGCCCTCCCCCACCCTCAGGGAACGCTCTCTGGGTGCTGATTCTGAGTGAGCGGTGCTTAGGGGTGGCCGGGCTGGACACAGTGGCAGCAAGTCAGTGAACTGCGGGATTATCCTCTGATCATCGGGAAATTTGGCTCTAAACTGCACAAAGGACCCACACCATACCAGGAGTGTGTGTGTGCGTGTGTGTCTGTGTATCTGTGTGTGCACCTGTGTATGTGAGTGTGTGGGGAGTGTGTACATGTGTAGGCATGTGAGTGAATGAGAGTGTGTAGTGCGTATATGTGCAGGTGCATGTGTGTATAAGTGTGCGTGTGTGCTTGTGTGTATGTGTGTACATGTGTTTAGGTGTATATGTGTGTGAATGTGTATATGAATGTAGGTGTGTGTGAGTATTTGTGTGTATCTGTGAGTGTCTGTGTAGTTTATGTGTGAGTGTGTAGGTATATGAGTGTAGGTGTGTGAGTGTATTTGTGAGTGTGTTATTTTAATTGTGTGTGAGTGTGGATGTGTGTGGGTGTATGTGTGGATGTGTGTGGATGTATTTGTGTGTGAATGTATGTGTACATGTGTTGTGTAGGTGTGAGTGTGTATGTGTGTGGGTGTATGTGTGTATGAGTATATTTGTGTACGAGTGTGTGTATGTGTGTTGTGTATGTATGAGTGTGTGGGTGTGTGTGCATGTGTGGTGTGTGTGTGTGTAGGGGGCTACATGAACAGACCAGAGAGCAGGAGAGGGAGAAGGTAGAAGAGAGAGCTTAGAGCTTGCTCACACTCTGATGATTCACTCCACAAATGTCTTTTTGAGAGCTTCCGGTGCTAGATACTGAGGCCAGACAAGTGACGGCAGCCCGGGCCCAGTGCAGATCCTGTTCAAGGCAGAAGCGGCTCTGCCAGGACACCGGGTGCTCTGGTGACCAAGAGCAGTGTCTGCTTCTGGGCCAGGGGACTCTGCCTTGACCCCAGGAATCTATCTGACGGAGTTGGTGGAAACCCCTCTGAGATCCTGAGGGTCCTGTCGGTTTGTCATTCTGGGTGAGGAAGGACAAGTAGGTGCAGCCATGTGCCGGGATGCCTGGACATCTGACATTTCCTTCCGGGGCAGGAAGGAGCAGAGGGTCAAGCATCAGAGACGAGATTGTTCTGGAAGCCAGGCAGCCTGGCCACACCCCTCACTGCCTCCGCTGAGTTCCAATGCAGAGGCAAAGGCCGCTGGTTCTGTCCTACGGTCCGGACCTGATGTCCCGTGACTGTTCCATTTCGGCGGCCAGCACCCTGGTCCACACCTTCTGCCTGATGTCAGCAGCATCCTGAGGCCACAGGGCCTGTGTGAAACCAGGGGAGGCCATGAAATAGGGCGGCCACACCCTCGGGCCTCCAGAGCTGGCTGGAGTCCCCAAACCCCAGCTCTGCCACCCCGGGGCTGTGTGTCCTTGGACGCACGACTTCACCTCTCTGCTCTGGTTCCTCCTCTGTCAAGTAAAGGCAAATGGAAACCCCTCCATGTGGGGTCAGTGAGGGTGTGCTGAGTTACGCCCAGTGACGCTGGTGTCTCACTGCACTGTAAGTCGGCACCGTCTCCCACCCAGTCAGAGTCACTGCTCTGTGCTCTCTGTGTCATGGTGCCCCAGGAACAGAAGCACTGGGCGACTCAGGGCTTACTCCTGGCTCTGCACTCAGGAATCACTTCTGGCAGGCTCCAGGGACTCCGGGATGGTGGGGATGGAACCCAGGCAAATGCCCTCCCCGCTGTACTCTCTCTCCAACTCCCCTCAATCTTGATTTTCAAACCTCTGAAGTTTTGGAATAGCTTTGGACTTACAAGAACGTCGCAGTGACAGTCAGGGTCTCTGTGTGTGTCCTCGCCCAGCTCCCTTTGTGCTGGTGTTTTGCATAACCTATAACCACAGCATGTTTGTCCAAACAAAGAACTTGGTGTTGGCATAACCCTGGAGCCGAGCTACCTTTCTTCAACTATCTCCTTCCCGAGGCTGACTCTCCATCCTGCTTTGCATAGGGTTAGGGGGATTGTCTCCCCGCCCCGCCGAATGAGCTGCACCGGCTTCCTCCCCTGAGGTCAAGGTCAGGTTCTCAGAGCAGCCTAGGGGCTGCTCACCTCTGCCACCTCCTCTGCTGTCCCCGGGTGGCCCATTCTGTCACGTCTGCCCCCACCTTGCGTCCATCCACCTGTCCATCCGCCCATCTGCAATTGTTGCCAATACTCTGATTTTCCCTGCATGGCTGCCAACCGCAGGGCATGTGGGGTGAAGGTGCGATGTCGACCCCCTTCTCTGCTTTCCCGCTGGTGCCGCTGGTGCCGGCACTGAATGGATACATGTAGATTGACCCATTCGCCGTCTGTGCCGCCGTCTGCCCATCCCACCCCCTTCAGACTGCCGGGCATTCATCTGCAGAGGGGGGAATTTAATCTGCTCAGCGGCTGTCCCATGGTGCGCTGAGAGGCCTCGAGTGTCCCCCACATTCCCGTCTAGGGGAACTGGGTTGAAAGAGAGGATCGTTTGCCTGGGCTCTGCACACACTTTCTCCTCCATGGATTCTGCCGCTCACAAAAGTCCCACATCCCCCGACCTGCTTTAACATGATGGACCATAGATGCAAATAGTTTGAGCTTTTTCAAACTCCAAGCTGTCGTGCTACTGTTGTTTTTAATGATGATGATTTGTTTGTTTGTTTGTTTGTTTTGCTTTTCGGGTCACACCCGGCGATGCACAGGGGTTATTCCTGGCTCATGCACTCAGGACTTACTCCTGGCGGTGCTCGGGGGACCGTATGGGTTGCTGGAAATCGAACCCGGGTCGGCTGCGTGCAAGGCAAACACCCTACCCGCTGTGCTATCGCTCCAGCCCCTAATGATGATGAGGATGAGGATGAGGATGATGATGATGATGTAGCACAGCGGGTAGGGCATTTGCTTTGCAGGCAGCCAACCTGGCTGACCTGAGTTCAATTCCTTTGCTCCTCTCAGAGAGCCCGGCAAGCTACCGAGAGTATCTCGCCCGCACGGCAAAGCCTGGCAAGCCACCTGTATGTATTCAATATGCCAAACACAGTAACAACAAAGTCTCGCAATGGAGACGTTATTGGGTCTGCTCAAGCAAATCGATGAACAACAGGAGGACAGTGACAGTGACAGATATTATTATTATTATTATTATTATTATTATTTGCAGGCAGTGGTGAGCTGGTGCAGGTCTTTGAGCGGAGGAGGGTAGGCTGGTCACTGTCAGGGCTGGGCTTCGGGAGCTGGGTTTGACCATCGGGTGGGT